CCATAGTCATTGTTGGACGGTAATTCCCCACTGCTCCATCCAAGAATATATCCTCTTTTCTCGGAATTTGTCTGTTAGAGCCTGTCTGGATGATTGTCTTTAAGCATGAAGAAATGGTTTTTTAGTGAAGAGCTTTTGCAGGAGTTTGGAATCATAAATTCTACGTAAATAAAATTATTAAATTTGATAAAATTTATTAAATTTAAAAGTTTAGCAGAAAAAATTACGTTGTAATTACAAATTTTCAGTATAAAAGTTCAAGAAGGAAACGCATTTTTATATATGAATAAAAAAATGTTTTTTGCTCATTTTAGCGGGGACCTAAAAACGTCAACCATTTTGCATTGCACATGCTTGTTTTATCAGTTATCACTACCTCCCACTTCCACCACCACCACCACCACCACCACCACCACCACCGGCCACCGCACTCACCTCTTTCAAAATTAACTTCCTCCATTCTCTGTTTGCCGATCTCACGACTGGGTTTCAAGAAATGAGTCTGTGCGGCGGGAGTGTTTCTGCGGCAAACTTCACCTGCCAAACCAACTCAATTCCCAAGCCCGTTGGACAACACAGTTTGAAATTTTCATTTTTACAAGCAAGCAGAAGCAAGAATAGGAGGAACGTCGCCCGTGGTCCTTTGCAGGTTGGTTTTTGCATTCCCTTTTCTTCCCTTCTTTTCCTGACTAAAATAATCGCTTCATCTGCTCCAATGATTTAGGTAGTATGTATGGTTTACCCAAGACCAGAGCTTGACAACACTGTTAATTTCTTGGAAGCTGCTTCTCTATCTTCATCTTTCCGTACTTACCCTCGACCGGCAAAGCCACTCAAAGTTGTAATTGCTGGGGCAGGTCTCTTCTATGTCCTTTTTCTTATCTATTCTCAAAGTTTGCTCCTTTAGTTAGTTTTCTCATTCCAATTCTAACTATTCCAATTTTAGTTTTAAAATTATTAATTTCAGGTTTAGCTGGTTTGTCCACTGCAAAATATTTGGTAGATGCAGGTCACAAGCCTCTGTTGCTGGAAGCAAGAGATGTTGTAGGTGGAAAGGTTTTTGTGCTTTCTTTTCTTCTGTAAAATCTATAATTTGAAATTTGTTGCTTTCTACTTTTAAAACTTAGAAAAAGTTAGTTGTTAATTATTTGGAGAGAAATTTTTTGCTTCATCTTTTACAAACAAGAGCAAATGTTGGTGCAGCATGCCCTAGTATGAATAGATATTGGGTTCTTTTGACCCTATGTCATAATACAAGTTCAAATCATAGTCTTGGTGGATTTTCTTGATCTGTTACTGGCACTTATTTAGATTTCCATCACATTGCTAAGTTAATTACTGCAGTTATGGTTAGGCAATTAAAAATGATTTTGAAAGAACAATGGTCAATAGATTAAGTACCCCGTATGACATGGTGTCACCTATATTTGTGATTCTTTTTTTTTTTTCTTTTTCTTTTTCTTTTGTGCTTGCAATTTCAAGATTTGGCCTTGTTTCTTATAGGTGGCTGCATGGAAAGATGAGGATGGAGATTGGTATGACACAGGACTACATATATTCTGTGAGTTTACATACTTCTTGTTTTTCCTTTTCCTCTTTGTTGAACAGTGATGAAGTTGTGGCCTATTTGCATTTCTCATTCAATACTTACTGATATAATTGGTTTAAATCCCCTTACTTATGTGCTGCTTATACTACTTTAGCGACCATAGTTTTCTCTTGGGACTTCTACATAGATAGGTCATAAACAAATCTAGGTATCATACCATTCAAAATTTTATTTCTTTGTTCATGGCCACACAATTTTTATCTTCTAAACTATCTGCTGCTTGTCAAAAATAGTTTTTCTTTTTGTTGCTTGAAATATTCATGTTATGTTGTTTTCTTTTTCCTTCTGGAAGTTGGTGCTTTCCCAAATATTCAGAACCTGTTTGGAGAACTTGGCATCAATGATTGCCTGCAGTGGAAAGAGCATTCTATGATATTTGCAATGCCAAATAAACTAGGAGAGTTTAGCCGGTTTGATTACCCAGAAGTTCTACCTGCACCTTTCAATGGTAAGAAAGTAATAACTATTATAATTAAAGTATGAGTCAGTATTAACATCTATAAAGTTACAAATCACATTTGCTCAGGTTGATGTGATCAACAGGAATATGGGTCATATTGAAGAATAATGAAATGCTGACTTGGCCAGAGGAAGTGAAATTTGCAGTTGGGCTCCTGCCAGCAATGATTGGTGGGCAGGCTTATGTTGAGGCTCAAGATGGTTTAAGTGTAACACAGTGGATGAGGAATCAGGTATAATGGTTACTTTGATCAAAATCTGTTTCCAAGGGGAAACCAAGTAGATAGAATATCATGGTGCCATTAGCCAAAAAAAAAAAACAACATAATGGTTACCAGCTTTGGTAGCTGAGTAGATAGAATATCATGATGACATTAGCCCAAAACAAAGAACCTAATGGGTACCAACTTGGTAGCGGGTGAGTTATGAACTGAGGTCATCTCATTTGATGTTGCATATCCATTGAGTTTAGTCATAGTGAATCTTGTGTGGCTCCTTTATTAAAAAAATAAAAATAAAAAGAAATTGCAGATGATTATAAGTACAAGAAACTAACAAATTTTACATTTTTCCCTTTTAGGGCATACCTGATCGAGTGACCGATGAGGTGTTTATTGCCATGTCAAAGGCCCTAAACTTCATTAACCCAGATGAACTTTCAATGCAGTGTATATTGATTGCTTTGAACAGATTTCTTCAGGTATGGCAGTCCTTCCACTTTTACCTATGGTAAAATTTTGTTGGACTTGGAGAGCCTTTATTTGATTGTTTGTAGTATTTGTTATTTATGGTGTATAAAATCCTTATTTATTTAGAGTATAATGCTAGCTTTTTCAGAATTAATAAAACTTAATGCACAGGAGAAGCATGGCTCAAAGATGGCCTTCTTAGATGGCAATCCACCAGAGAGGCTCTTCATGTTTATTGTTAATCATATTAAGTCACTTGGTGGTGAAGTTTGACTTAATTCGTGAATGAAGAAAATAGAGCTTAATGATGATGGGACTGTAAAGAGCTTTGTACTAAATGGTGGTGATGTGATCAAAGGAGATGCTTATGTGTTTGCTACTCCAGGTATGCTAAATGTTTTCTATTATACTATGTAATTCTTTGTGTTCTTCTTTTTGCTTTTGTTATTATTAATTAAAAGCAGCTTCACCAATAATGGTTCATGGATTGTGTTCCAATCAGTTGACATCCTGAAGCTTCTTTTGCCCGAAAGTTGGGGAGAGATTCCATACTTCAAGAGATTGGAGAAATTAATTGGAGTCCCAGTCATTAATGTTCACATATGGTTAGTTATAATTTTCTCTATGTCTGTGTCTCTATCTCTCTACCTCCCTCCCCCCCTCACCCTTCTTGTGTTTAATGGAACTTTTTTGCATCTATTTTGGACTTAAGCGTTTTAACATCATTGCTATTGATTAACAATATATTATATCCTTCATATCTGTCCAACTGCAATTCCACTCTTGAGACTCTTCAAATTGTGAATGCTTGTGTGACGTATGGAAGAGTATGTGTGAAAATGTTGAGCCTTACGTCCAGATTATAGTGCAGAAACTAAGATACACATGCACACAACCTGTGAGTGAACAAAATTTGAATTGTTGATGATAGGTGATGCTTGGCATTTATATTATGACCTCATGTTTATGTCAAGGAGAGAATGTTAGCTGCATATTGGGACTCTAATGGGTCATTTACTGTTGCCTCATGTCCCCCGTTTGGAGAATTGGCAAGATATTGAGGTCATGGGAAATCCCTCAAGAAATTATTACGGTAGATGGGATTATTTAGGAATTTTGATTTTTTGGGTTATTTGCAATTTTGATATAATTATTGGATCTATTATTGGATTATGTTATTTAGTATATCCGGTTATTTTTAATTTTCTCTTTCTATTAGAACTAATTAGAAGTAATTATGTAATTATGTCAGAGAATGCTTATGTTAGAATCAGGGTTTTGGTTATATATAAATGTAAATGCTAAGCTAGGTTCAAAGAGTTATGAAGAATTGATTTTCCTCTATTATTTTTCCATGGTTTTGCCCTTCTATTCCTTTGTTTTCTCCCTTGTTCTTCCTTTTTATTCTTCATTTATTTTAGCATATCAGCAAATATATCATGATATCTATTGGTTGGTTATTTGGTTTGAGATTATACTTCTGATTTGTTAAATACTTGCTGCTAATGATTCAGTGATACCAGTGGTTGACTGACACAGATTTTCTTCATATGCAGGTTTGACAGAAAACTGAAGAACACATATGATCATTCACTCTTCAGTAGGTTGTACTTTGCTAGACATACTATGAAGCTTCTATTTTCCGTAACAGTTTTTGTCAATAGAACTTAATTTAATTAAAAACCAACAAGATGGTAAGCCTTACTGGAAACATTAATTTTGGGGTTAAGGTCATACTTCAAACCTCTGCGATAGCTAAGCACACTAATTCTCATCTGTCAGTAATTTAATATAATAAAATTCGAACATCACCACAAGGTATGTTAATGAAATTCTGGTTATGCATTTCCATATACCCAAAAACTGAAATAATCCCATCTCTACCATGATTTTGGTGTTAAATTGACAAGACGTTTTGTGTGCCAGAGTCATTGGAATGAAAATTCACATTTGCACTATTTAATTTGGATGGAACTTGTTCACCTAATTATTGCCCCAATTTCTTATTAACCCTCTTCCTTTTTTTCTTGCAGAAGTCCTCTTCTAAGTGTGTATGCTGACATGTCTGTGACATGTAAGGTAAACATTGTCATTGATGCCTATCTATTTCGTTGTTCTACCTCAACTTATGTTTCTTTAAGCCAGCAGGTTGCTGATATTTCTCTGCATGATGGATGTTTGCAATTCCTTGTGTATGATTATTGATTAGCCCAAAATGTTTTTTGTGATGTTCAATTATTAATAGAGCACTATGCACTTAAACACAAGTTAAATATTTCTACTCTTTCCTAACAAAATTATGTGATTTTGATACAAATTTCTTCCTTTAACTTGCAAGTAAAAACAAAACAAAACTTTTGTTGTGATTAACAAGGCCTTTTTATCTATTTTTTTTTCTCTTAATTAATGTTCTAATGTTTTATGCAGGAATACTATAACCAAAACCAATCCATGTTGGAGTTGGTTTTTGCCCCTGCGGAAGAACGGATTTCAAGAAGCTAGTGACTCCGAAATTATTGATGCTACAATGAAGGAACTTGCTAAACTTTTTCCAGATGAAATCTCTGCAGATCAAAGCAAAGCAAAAATCTTAAAAGTATCACGTTGTTAAGACACCAAGGTTAGACTCAAAACTAAAATGTTAGTTATTCAGAATATCTTAAATGCATTTAATTAAATTATAATCGCTGCTGGATGGTTAGAGTTTTTTGCCTATGTACTCATGGTAGTTCATAAACATTGTAATTGTCACAATAACTCGTTATTTTCTATTTGTAGATGTGCATTTGTATAAATATTATTAATGAACCTAATTGGACAGCACCAAGCCTTAACTTTTGTTATATTTCTATTTTACTTACTTGACATAACTCCTAAATTTTGTTAGGTCTGTATACAAAACCACCCCAAATTGTGAACCATGCCGTCCTTTGCAAAGATCTCCTGTAGAGGGGTTCTATCTAGCAGGTGACTACACAAAGCAAGAGTATTTGGCCTCAATGGAAGGTGCTGTTCTTTTACGGAAGCTTTGTGCACAGTCCATTGTACAGGTACTCTTTGTATTATTCTATCCTTTGACATCTTCCGTTATTGCAACAAAGAGGCTTTGTCTTAGTTCAAACTTTTGAGTTGCCTTAGACGCAATGGCTGTTGTGGCATACCATGCAGTCAAGGCGTCATTGACTTGTTGCTGATATACTGAGATGTGCAAAAATTGCAAATTGCTTGTTTCTTCGGGGGAAAGGAAGTTGGCAGCAGCAACTCTCTGATTACATAATTGGTATTAGATTTTGCGAGGCACTGAGAATCATCTAGAGATTGGTTGCTACTCAAAAACAAAGTGGTATAGTATTTCAGCGATCTTGATATCATTAGTTCATTACCCCATAGAAATTGGTAATCTCTACAAAGACAGCTTCCTGAACTCTTCAAAAGTTTATATCCTTAAGTTCTATCATTAGTCATTTTGTAGTTAGTTAATAGCTATCTTTATTGGCA